TATATATATATATATATATATATATATATATATACGAAATAAATATGTCTACGTACATGTCTAGTACATTTGAAGTATTAAAATGACTAAAACTAAACTGAAATAAATATAAATGAAAACTATTTAATATTTAAAAGTAATAAACTAATAAAAAACTTTACTATACTATATTCTTAAAACCTAAGCTAAAAATTAAAATGGAAATTAAAACTGGTAATATACCTCAAAATATTAATAAATAGTGTAATAGTATATAAATAACCCTACAATAACACTGAGTTATACTAACCAGAGAAAAGACCAATTAAAAATGATATGCTTTTAATATCCCAGTTGTTTCTGCTAGAAAGTACTGAGACCTTTCTCTAGAGTTTCAGATCAGATCTCAACAATGTCTCAAAGTGTGCTCAGATTTGCCAAGACATCCAAGTCTGCGATCCAAAGTCACAGATCTCAGCATTAACTCCAACATTTCTCACCTAATGATCTGAGCTCTTATTACTGTATAACAACTATTGTGTCCGTTTCTCAGTTTCAGACTCCAGAATATCAGAGAGACTTGAAGACGAACTCTTGTGACTTAAGCCAGTAAGAAACCACCTAAAACCTGCTAAAACCCACTCAGCAAGCGCACATCACAGAGGTCACGCCACCCACATCATCTTCAGAAAATCAACTTTCTGCTGTAACGTATGAGATGGAAACTAGCTATTGTTCAGATGTGTGCGGTTTCCCACCGAGCATTCAGACTTCACACTGACCTTCATTAGTGATGAAGTCCTCCAGCGAGGACCAGGTTCTGTTATTGCAGAAGAAAGTGCTGTTGTTGTCTGAAGGTAAGGTGGTGTTGAGACAGTGCGCGGTGCTGCGGACGCATTTCTGCCGCAGGTTCCCCATGAAGAGCTGCAGGCCGATGAGAGCGAAGACGCTGAGACAGAAGACCGTCAGGATCATGACGTCTGCCAGCTTCTTCACCGACTGGATCAGCGCGCCCACGATGGTCTTCAGGCCTGAGAGCAGCAGCGGCACAAAACCACACTAACACTGAGTTCAAATTAAGTGAGTTTTTTTTTTTTTCAATCAGTCTAATTTTTCAAACTATTACTTTTTTTTTTGTGCTGTCAAACGATTAATCATGATTAATCGCATCCAAAAATAAAAGTTTTTTTTTACATAATATACGTGTGTACTGTGTACATTTATTATGTATATATAAATAAATACACACACATGCATGTATATATATATATATGGTTATATATTAAATATATTTATATATAATATAAATTAAATGAATATAAATATATACATGTAAATATTTTCAAAATATGTACTGTATGTGTGTGTATTTATACATGCATCATAAATATACATAGTACACATACATATATATTATGTAAACAAAAACTTTTATTTTGGATGCGATTAATCGTTTGACAGCACTATATTTTTAAAATAATTTTCCAGATCATATCAGGGTTGTGCACCATTCAGAATTGGATTATGAACGCCTATTAAATTCAGATTCAGTTTGAAATGCGAATCCAGAATATATTCAAATATAAATAAATAAATAAATAAATTGGTGGTATAATGCATAACTATACAAATATATAAGAATTTAATTTTTATATTTATTTTACTTTATTTTATTTGTAATATTAATTTAAATTAAAGTTGAAAAAGTGTGGGTGAAATGAAAAAAGGTATAATTTTTAGTCATTTAACAATACAAATGAATAATGATAGTAAAAATGTATTTTATTATATTTAATAACTGTATATGTTTATACATTTTCCATGTCACCCCTACTTTTTCAACATGATACATACTTTAATTAAGATGAAAAAGTAGGAAGAAATTTAATAACATAAAAATTAAAAAATTAAATGCATGAAAAAAGTAATATAATGAGATATTAAAAACAAATAAATCAAAATAATATAAAATATATAAATCAAAATTTTATATATATATATATATATATTTTTTTAAAATTTCATTTTATTACTTTTTTAAATTACAAATTAAAGTACACAATAATGTAATAATTACATTTAGTCACAAATCAATTTTTGACTATTTCTTTGCTTTGTTGATTTTTTTGCATTGCAATTCAGTATTTCTTCCCAATCAAATTCCAATTCAGCTTCCTGTGTGATTTTGCCAATTCAAATCAAATGAACACTCATGAATTTAACAGGATTCTCAAATTCTGAATGTTGCCAAACCCTGGATCACATCTGTCGCATTAGAGCGTCAAACCACATGAAACCACAAACACAGCACACGACATCAGCTCTGTCTTTACAAACATTTGTGAGTGCGGGAAGCACACAAAATGTGACAGTTCACAACAGACGCTTCCATGGAGTGAGAACATGCACTTTTCTTCTGGAATACATATGTATATAGTGTGAGTGTGTGTGAGTGTGAGTGTGTGTGTGTGTGTGTGCATGCGTTCGTGCATGTGAGTGTGTGTGTGTGTGTGTGTGAGTGTGAGTGTGAGTGTGTGTGTGTGTGTTCTGTTTCATATGTATGAATGAATGAGGCATTTATATGTATGTATAAATATAAATATATTCTTCTCATTCCATAAGAAGCGTCTGCTCATTGGCTCAGCATGCAAACTAGTGTTTCTCTACAGCTACTCATGCCTTCAACACGTCAATGAGACTTTTGGAGTGAGTTAACTGAACCCCGAGCTGACAGCTGAAGGAAACATGAACTGTCCACCCTGATGTCATTTCACTTGTGTGTGATCGACCCTCAATACAACAGGTTGCACCTGGAGGTCCTTCGTAAAGCCGCTGCGGCGTCTAATGTTAACAGCTGTAATCGAGTGCAAAAGTGCTGTCTAGTTTTTCAGCAGCAGCATTTTTTCCATTCATTTTTCACATAGGGAAGTCTTTGTTAAAGAGTTATGAGCCGTGAATCAAACCAAGCAACTACGAGGAGAATCAGAACATTACAATAGTTCATTTGAAGCAAAAAAATGTGTCGGACAAAAATAGAAAGACTGTGAACTTTAGCTTTAATTAAAGGACTACAATCCCATGAAGCACTGAGTGACATAATCAAAATAAAAACAATTAAGAAATATAACACTATTAATTTAAAGATGTTCTTTACATTTATAAAAAAAAAAAACAATAACTGATATGTTAATAATAGAGAGAGAGAGAGAGAGGGCGGAGTTATTTTAGTGCAACTCTCTGATTGGTGGAATTTTCTGTACAGCATCATGGGTAATGTAGTTTCTCACCACAAATTCCGCTGTTAAGCACTATTACTTTAAAAATAAGTTGAAATAATGCGAACAGATGGCTTCAGCTACAGCATATACCATCTATTAACGACCTCAGAGCTCACAGTCGGTCTGTCTTGAACAGTTATCGTTAAAAATGACAAATTTCCCTGAGGAGAAAATGAATGGAGATTTACTTCGAGAACCAGAAGTAAAGTTCTATTTCACTCTATGGCAGTTACTTGAATATCATTCAACCCCGCTGAAAAAAATAAATAAATAAATAAATAACACCAAGATGGCTTCCACAAGTCAGGCCGGTCTGGTTTGATGGTTTTAGAGAGGTTTTGGCCACAGCTAACAGGGAACGTTCTCAGAACGTTGTGACAAGGTTTTCTCAACGTTATAAACAAACGTTCTATACCAGTAATGCTCGTTTAAAGTGATCTGGTCTTTAATGATGTTCTCAAAACGTTCGAACAAAAGCATTAGTTATATATTGTTCATGGAACATTCCTGAAACAGTTTAGTTGGACATTTGTTAAATGTAGCAACTTTCAGAATGTTCAGAGAACATTCAAATGTAACATTCCTACAATGTTTGCAAATGGAATGTTTCTGTAACGTTTCCTAAATGTTTCCTTTAGCTTTTAAAACTGGATGTTTAGAACGCTCAGAAAAAAATTATTTATTGGATGAACTCAATTTAATTGAGAGCAGGATTTCCGTCCAATAAATATGTGTAGCCCCAACTCATAAAAAACAAATTCATGCAATGAAATGTAATTCAGTTGGGCCAACTCAATTTGATCAAATATAGTTTCAATAAAATTGATACATTTATGAAGTGAATTTTACTCCGTAAAGTTTCAATTGTTAGGCATTAACCATAAGGTTTTGTTACATCCATGGTATGCCCGAAATAGTTGTTTTTTATTATTAAAACACCTTTAACTTCTGTTAGCAGGTCCTCAACCCAAGCACATGCTCTACACTTTACCGTAACCCGCAAAACACAACTCTTCTAAATGCAAACATAATACAGCATTAAACATTAACAAGTCTCCCAATTGTATCATCTTGATTAAAAATGCATAAAATAACGTTTTATTTCAACATTTACTCTCCATATCCAGCCCTGTGCAAAGCATGATAGGAAGGGGAAATCCACGTCCTAGCTACACAAGTAAAAAAAAAAAAAGTAAATTAAGTGGCTGTAAAGAATTGTGTTGGGTTAACTTCATTTAGTTAAGTAAATCGAACAAGCATCAAATGTTATTTTTGTTCTACTTAATTGAAACATGTTCTTTCAAAATGAAAATATTGAGTTGAACCAAAATGCAACTGTTTTAAGTCATGCAATTGTTTTTTTAATAAACTGAACAGTGTTGTAGAATGATTTTTTGAGTGTGTTTTCAAAACATAATGAGAAAATCAGCACAACGTTCTTAGAAGCTATTTTCTGTTAGCTGGGTAAACCGGCTGGTTCGGCTCTTTGACTCGATTTGTTGCCCAACTCAAAAGTCTCATTTCCTACATTCTGCATTTCCACGTTTCCAAGAGTGTTTTGGAAGTGGCGGAAATGCGTTTCGGTCATCCATTAGCCCCGCAGGCCTCGGCGTTTGGCGGCCTCTCACCTGGGATGACTGAGATCGTTTTCAGTGCTCGCAGAACCCTGAATGTCCGTAACGCTGAGACATTGCCCAGGTCCACAAACTCAGTAACATATCTGCAAGAAGCCAGAATCGGAGCACAGACAATGACAACAACACCAACAACAGGCAAACAACACAGCGGAGAATGAAGCAGGATGTCGGGAAGTTGCCGGGAAAGAGGACACAGCGCGGGAAGAACCGGATGCGGGTCAAATCCTGAACTGTTGGACTGGACACTGAGCGACACTGCGAGCTGTCTCCTTGCGCTTACCTGGGATTACGGAAATAGTTTTCAAAGCGCGGAGGACCCTGAACGTGCGGAGAGCTTGCAGATTGCCTACTTTTATAAATTCAGTTAGAAACCTGCAGAATCAGATTAGAGTTACGTGGATCAAAAGACAAACAACTGAAAGACAAAAGAGGGAGAAAATTAAAACGTCAAACAACTCAAATGATGTACTTTTTACTCACTTAAAGGAACAGTTCACCCAGAAATGTTTATAAAAAATGTTATCATCTGAATAGCTTTAGTTCTTCTGTGGAACATAAAAGAGGATTTTTCGCAGATTGTCACAAGGACTATTTTTCCATACAGTGAAAGTGAATGGGTGCCGATGCTGTCAAGGACAGAACCATTTTGTAAAAGCAACATAAATTCACACAAAGCCGATTCCAATTCTTTTGTCAACCAAACACCTTTATATTAACGTTTAAGTATTTTAGGTATTAATATGTTAAGTCATCCTGACATTTTAATATAAAAGTTAATATTTTTCATAATTTAACAGCACATTTTCATGTCCATGGTTAACGGTCAGTTAATGGTCACATGACACGCAGGTATAAAATATTTAAATAATAAATGAATATTTAAATAAAATAGTAAAATCTTTATCTTTCATCTTTTGCAAGTGTTTTATTTTGACTGCTTTAACTTTATAATTATTATTTGAATGAAATTTTTTTCACACACTGTGTTTATATTCCAATGCAATTTATAAGCAATAAAAGTGATTTATTTCACTTTAAAGTTTCATTATAATAAATGCTGTTTATAGTTAATGCCATTATAATTTGTTTGTTTTGAATTTACTGTATATTTTTCATTCCCGTTTCACTCAGAATACAATTAAATTTAAAGGATTTTTTTGTGTAGAGATGAAAACTAAAATACATGTTTATAGTGTTTGTAATTTTGCAAACGTTTTATTTATCAATACTTTATTTCTGAATGTAATAATGAACTGTGACTTATACACAACGATCCAACACATGAGTTTTTTCATGAATTTTTGACAACAATCGTTTTTTAAACAAATTGCGATTCAGTTAGGGGTAGTTTATATGAATGTATGTCTGAGGGGAACTTACTGTCTTTAGAAAAGTTTAGATGGTATTTTTTATTTTCCTCTTGCCTCTGTATAATGCATATTAAAGTTCCTAAGTGCAGCGCTGCTTTGTTTACAGCGGTAACCAAGGAAACACTGTATCATTGCTGTTCATAAGCGCAGCGCTGCTTTGTTTACAGCGGTAACCAAGGAAACACTGTATCATTGCTGTTCATAAG